AGTTGATCACATGTATATAGAATGTATATAGAGTGTACATAGAGTCAAAGTAGATTGTACATATTTTGACTATAATCAGGGACTAGTTTGTACATTGTGTAAATGTTAGGACAGTTGTGTAAATAGTCAAAATTAGCAGTTGAGTTGGTTTACAGAAGTTGTATATATATTTAATGTGTTTGATTTGTAAGATACGATTTGGACATAATCAATATATAGAAATTAATTCACTTCTTAATTTTCCAGTTAGTTTCTACAAACCCTAGTTCTTGATCAATCTTTAATCACTTTTTCTTCCGCTTGACTGATTTTGATACTCAAGACTAAGAGTAAGGTTTTAAGCATCCAATTGTTTATTGGGATACTTTATATTCGACACAAAAAGCATAGGAACTTAATAAGACGCGTTTATAGTCGTGTGTCCTATATACTTCTAAAAGTATTTATAGCATGTAAACGCACTGTCCGTGTAGCAGTGGGTGATCGCTGGAATAGGTCGCTTTTGCCAGAAAGATTTGGGGAGGGATTGCGGGAGATATTGGACGGAATTTGCCAGCTAAGTTTTTTTCAAAGTCCGGTGGTAATTTCCGGTGTATGGTTAAAAAGGAGATGCTAAGAAGTACTTCCTCTGGTCCTTATTATAAGGCATTTTGATTTTGTCCTAGGTTTCACCGAAAATGTATTTTTAATTAGAAAAAAAACCTTAAAAATATATTTTCACATTCGTTATATTTTCCTAGTTATTATGAAATTTTTTTAAAGTTTTAATTTCAATAAAAAAGACATTTTAGGTAAAATTTAAAACAAAATCAAAATGTCTTATAATAAGGACCGGAGGGAATAAGCTAAAATTCCAAAGTAGCGGTCATCCCGACTCATGCTCCATCTTGTCAAAACTCAAAGACATGATCTCCCTCAATTTCTTGAAAAAGGAAGGAAATTATAATAAATTCCTTGTATTATATTTACCTCCCCTATTATTTAAAAGTGTTATCAGGTGACTCCTGTAGTTTGCCTTCTCAAAAAAAAAATTAAATAAAAAAACAATATATTTCTTACTATTATGTTCAAAGATGTTATTAAACACCTATTGAGAAAGCAACGCAAATCCATCACTATACACTGATTCTTCTTACTTCTTGGTGTGCTAAGAAACAAGTCTACAAAATCTGTGTAGTAAAAGATAAATTATCAGTCAATAATGTAACAAAATCCACAATCAGTAATTACTCCACCTATCCAGGAAAATAGTCTAATTTTAACACAAATTTAAAAACTTAATGTATACTTTTTCTTGGACATAAGGAGTATAAATCACATGTAGAGAAATAAATTAACATTAACGAAACCATTAGTAAGTGTATGCAAGGTCAGTAGACTGGACTGGAGCGTCGAAGGATACACCATTAATTGTTAATAGATGAGGCTTTCCTCCATCACCCCATAGTAACCTCAACGCTGTGAAGACATCAATACCGCCAAAAAGGGCAAACAAGACAGGTTCTGTGGTGTTCTCTGCTGAACAACCTGACTTGTTCCTTACTGAATAACCGCTAGGCTTGTCTCATTTTCAATACTATGTCACAATGTAATAAACAAACTAACAGAGTTTTATATGGTATTATTTAAACAACGTTATATTACTATGAAAGTACAAAAGATGTTTCGGGGTGGAACCATTTTTAATGTCCTGTGACATTTTCTAGTACTCCTTCTATCTTGAAAAAAGAAGATTACATTGAATTTGAAATAAAATGAGTAATATTTATCAAAGAAACAAATTTTAAAGCAAATTTTAACTTTCTTGAAGACTAGGAGTGACTGGGGCTTACAGATTATGGGTTCTTTAAGAGTTTATATTCCGTTCCGAAGTGATGCATCTTGGTTTGATATTCATGCTTAATATAATGATATTATTTTAAAAGTGAAAATTCAAATTCGACTATTATTTCAGGACCAAAAGAATATTAAACCACTTGTAACCGTTCCTAAAGGTCCAGTACCACAGTACCAGTCAAGACACGTCAAATCTGAGGAGGACAATCAAATCCACCTCATGAAATTGCAGATGATTCCGATTCACTTTCCGCCACCAGAAAAATACCCCCAAGGATTGATTCCCTTATAGTTGCTGCATGAACATAAGTACTCCAACTACTACTTTTCTCCGGCTGCTTTTTTCTCACGCATTATCTGCACTAGTGGTTATCCCCGTGGATATAGTTAAGTACTTATCAAATACCAAGTTCTCATCATAACACATTTCCACGCAAGTCTTATCGCAATATTTAGCCACCAATTATATCACATTATTTTAAAAAGAAAACATATACTGAGGGCATTTTTTTCTTAAATATGGGAAAACAGTTAATTGAACTGTTGTAAATTGTTACAGTATAATTTACAAACAGCTTCCATGAATGCTGTTTTCTTCCACATGCTTCCTAAATTTGTATAGAGCTAAGAAGTAAGAAGGGTATTGGGTGGTATGTTATAACAGTATTGGTCTATCATCAATAATAATACTCGTTCTATCCTAAAAGAATAATCGCTTTGAATTTTTGTTTATATTACTTTAATATTATAAAACTTAAATTTGATATAAACTATTTTTTTAAAAGGTCAGTGATGCAACGAGAGCCACCGATGAAATTGAAAAAGAATGGAACTGATGGATCCTAAAATCCTAAGAACTTCGTGTAAGAAAGGTGGAATGTATGTCACTAAGTTCCTTAATTTATGAACTAATTAAAAAAATACAACTTAGCTCCACGTCACTAACCCAGGTTTCTAGTCAAATCTCGAAGTATATAGTATTAAATTGACTGGATACCGATCAAACATTCGACATTCTTCCCGCGTACTAAGCGTGGATGGAACTGAATAGAATTTCTTTTTGCAGGACCGCCTTGATATATAAATCCATTTCTTTAAATCAGAATATATTTTTGAAACATGTGCGTACGCATCAAGCTCTTTACTGCCATAAGTATTCAAGTCACGTTCAGATTATTTGTCTCACTTTTTGTGTATTAACTTTGTTTCGTTAATTCAAATTTACAACTAACTAAAAGTTAAAAATTTATGCATACTCACACGATTTATTTACTAATAAAATACAATCAATTCTTCTATTCTGAAATAGTTGTATATGTATTAGACTACTGTTATTATGTATTGAGGAGTTGGATGAGGGGTGGACCTAAAGAGCATCTAGTGTGGATTTGTAGGTAAGGTGTATATATAATATATTGAACTAGATGTTAAACTCGCGCGATGCGCGGGATTTATTTATTTACATTATAAAAAATCAACAAAAAATATAAAATGTGTAAAATGAATTTTATTATTTTTATTTATAATTCATCAGTAATGTAGGTGTTTTGGAGTATATTTTATTATCCAAAAGTGGAAATAAATAGAGATAAATTGGGATTGATGATAATTGATTATCCAAAATTTCAGTGATAAAGATAAAGTTTATAACAATTTTTGAGATATTATTAAGGAAAGATTATATTTATTTGGGTAAATATGATATTACACAAATAAATGCATTGGTTTGAAATTCAAAAGATAACATTTAATTATAGTTAAATCCCCTCCTTTTAGTAATAATTGAAGGCAAGTTTTATACCTTTTTTTCTTTTTTTATTGGCGAAAAATACAGGGTCATGTTTTTTGGGAGAAGATTTTAAAGATAACATTAATGTTAAATGATTGTTTTTTTTTTTTTTTGAATTGTAATCTATTGATTTACATGATTGGGAGGGGGAATTTTTTTTTAGAGAGATTAATTAAATGAGTCCAGTAGTAACTTTGGGGATTCTTTTGGGGAGGGAATAATTCTGGTGCATTAATACTCATTAATCCCGTCCATTAAATTTAATTAATTTTTATTTTTCTATTTTAAACTATAGTTTTAAATGCCATTTGATAAAACTTTATTTGCATAAAATTTGAAGGACTATTAATATAATTACTGTAAATATTTTTTTACTCAAGCATTAGAAAAATGACACATAGGATTTTATCTTATGTGACACCTTTAGAATTCTTTTTTGTTTTCTCTCTTAGTATAATAATACTATAGATAAATGGTTCAAGAAGAATGTGGAGGGAAGACATGGAAAGAAAAGCATTACCCTCCAAAGTTGCAAACCATGTAGGTGTATTTTATTTAATCCGATCCGCGAACAAAAAAGCTAGCGTACTCGGTCCAAAAGAAGAATCCTAACCACATCCCACGCAACCTATTTCCCACTCTCACTTTTTTTTGTTCCGATGCCTAAACTGCCCTTGCATTTTTGGTCATTTCATGTAATTTGTATGGTCCAGTGTATGAAGTTTGATTAGAAGATAAACTCTGGTCCTTAACTTTGGAGCTTAATTTTCTTCGATCCCACTTTTTTAAGGAACATGAACTCCAATCCTAGTTTTGATTGTCATTCCAATTTCAACACATTAGGATAATTGACAAAAAGTGAAGCCAGAAAATAAAAATTAATAGCATATGAAGTCACACGTAATTTAGTTCAAATTCCGAGTGAGCAAAAGTGATCTAGTTCGACTAGTATAACATTATTCAAAACTACTTCAAAAAATTATCGGCTGTCATTGTGAACTTGGGCCAAATTGAAAGAATGACACAAATTTCAGGATGTGATTAACCTTTTCCAGAATAAGGGACAAAAGCACATATTCAAAGAACATTTATTGGTGTGAAATGTGAATAGTGGACTATTTCCCAAAGCAAAACTCTTGATGGAGTCATGATTGACTTACCATCGATTATTAATGAATTTAAAAGCCAAGAGTTGTAAATTCTCACCAATGAGACAATAGTGGGAGTATACAGCTAACTAGGTCAAGAACAAAAATGACAAAGAAAAAAAAGACAAAAATAATTGAGAAAAGGGAAAGGGCAGTATAGTAAAAAAGATTGGAATGATGGGTAAAAAGAATTTAAAGCAAAGATTGCAATTAGCTCACACTCCTCCCAAAAACTTTTTCCTTGTCACTCTCTTCATATTCTAAACTTTTCCTTAACCACTAAGCCTTCTTTCCTCTCTTCTCATCATCTTTCTCAATCTTCTTTCACATTCTCTGCAACCTTAGCAAGATCCAAAGGAAGTGAGGCCGGCCTAATTCGCTATCAAGCTAGCTATGTGTCCTTCAATGGCAGATAGGGATGATTCCTACACTCCCAAACCTAAGAAACTAAGCTTAGAAGTCTCAGCAAACCAAGCAAATCAGGAGAGTTCAAGTAAGTATTACAATCAGTTCCTCTACAAAGCCATCATTGTTGCACTTTTCCTAGTCATAGTTCCCCTTCTTCCTTCCCAAGCTCCTGAATTTGTTAACCAGAATTTACAGTATTCAAGGAGTTGGGAACTTCTTCAGCTAATCTTTGTAGGTATAGCTGTTTCTTATGGCCTTTTTAGTAAGAGAAATGATGAAACTGACAAGGATCATCATAATCAACAACAACAACACAATAGCCCTGCAGCTACTAATAAGTTTGATAATGCACAGTCTTATGTTGCTGGACTCCTTCAGGTTTCATCAGTTTTTGATGATGAAACCGAACCCACTTCAGTTTCTGATGATACTAATAGTAACAAGATTCAAACTTGGAATTCTCAGTACCAAAGGAAAGAGCCAATGGTGGTGGTTGCTGAAAAAAGCCCTGTTCTTGAGAAACAGAGGGGTACAGCTTCAAGATTTGATGAAAAGCCTCTGCTTTTGCCTGTCAGAAGCTTGAAATCACGGGTTTCTGAGCCTGATGAGAAGCAAATGACAAGAGAAAACAGTTTCAATAATGCTTCCATCACCCGGGCAAGCTCGAATTCAGTTTCCAAGAGATTCTCTTCCAGCAATTCAGGTAAAGCAAGAAACGGCGAATTCGCCGGGTTGAGCCTGGTGGATGCTGATGATAACAACATGGAGGCAAATGTTGTCCTTCGTTCGCCAATTCCATGGCGATCGAGATCAGGAAGGATGGAGATGAAGGAAGGTGATCAGGAGGGCATTAATTCATACTCTCTGCCTCCTTCAGCAGAGGATTCTGAACACAAAAAGTTTGAATCCCCGCGTTCATTTAGATCTCAATCATCCCGTTCACTTAGAACTCATGAATCTGTTTCTTCCCCATCACCAAACAAATCATCCACTCCCCCACAAACACCTTCTTCATCATCCAAGAATCTATCTCCATCCCATTCCTTTTCATCTGAATATCAAGCAAAAAGTGCTGAGGATTTTGCAAGGAAAAAGAGTTATGTCAAAACAACACCTCCTCCAGCTCCCCCTCCACCGCCTCCTCCATTTTACCGCAAATCCCCCCTGGAAAAATCAAATTCTGCCCTCATGAACAGGCAGGATTTTCCTCAGAAAGAGTTGAGACGAAGTGTTAGAAGTGTACCAGATGAGTTCGTTAAGACTGAATTAGAGAGCCTGACAAGAAGAACAAATTCAGGGCCAGAGTTAAGGCCTAAAGCTCAGACTGATGTTTCATCATTCGGGAAATCTGTTCGAACAATCAGATCAGCTGAATCGATCACGAGGGAGATCAAGCCGAAGGAGTTTGATGCAGATGTGATGGGTGAAGTGGCAAAGGAAATTGAAGCAAAATCACAAGCTAAAAGAGAATTAACTAACAAGCTAATGCGCGAGGCAGAGCCGAAATTCAGGAGAATGACTTCCAATGAGTTGCAAATGGCAGAAAAGGAAGATTCCATCGAAAAAGTGCTCGTGGAAACCGATGAGAGCTCAGAGGAGGAAGCTGAAAGCGAAGATGATTACGTTGAAGAAAGTGTAGGAAGTTCAGGCAATGCTGAAGAAGTACCTGCTTCCAATGTGGATAATGCTAATGCTGCTGCTGATGAAGGGCCTGATGTTGATAAGAAGGCTGATGAGTTCATAGCCAAATTTAGGGAGCAAATAAGGCTTCAAAGAATAGAATCAATCAGGAGATCAACTGAGCAGATTGCTCGTAAACAATCATCGCGGTAACCAATTGATCTGGAAGTTTTATGTGCATGATGAAAGCTTCCTTTAGTAGTCTATCTCTAGAACTCTATGCTTTCATTTCACTTGGCATTTATATTCTCCCCCAATTCTGTTCTGAAATCTACCCATATTTGTGGGTGACTATACCGAGAAATCCGAAAGGATAAATTAACTATGCAACATGATAGTTGCTATATATTCTTGCATCCTGATCATCTTCGCTTTGCGATTTATCTTTAGGCGCTCTATTGATGTTAGCAATGCATTTATCCAATAGATTGGTGTCTTTGTTCTAAGGCAAAAGATCAGTTGTACTAAAGAACTTCGATTTTCTGAAAAGGGATGTTAATAACTAGTTTCAGAAGTAGAAATAATCCTTTTCTGGTTTAGGCAATGGCAGTGTTCTTGAACACAGAAATGAAACGTAATTTTTTAAAGTTATTTTGGAATATTATAGTAAACCATCAAGTTTCTAACATTTAAGGGTTGAAATGTGCAGGAAATGAGCTTGTTCTTACTTCTATGATTTGCTTCTTCATAGAACATATGTTACCAAGAAGGTAAAAGTTCAAAGACCGCTAGCTACTTGATCAGTTGATCTAGTTTGAAAAAATATGGAATTAGTTCTTGAAAAGGAATCTAGTCATTCATAACTGTAAGCCACTTTCGGACCATTGATTTTTTTGTCAAACAATCAAACTATAGGTGCTTTATTCCAAAATCTTCGCGGTGGATTTACTGGGGATTGTCATGTGCTTGCAACTTAATAAGAGAATATGCTGACCTTGAAGTAATTAAAGGGATGATGATGACTCGGAGAGATGATACTTTTCTTTAGGCCTCAATACTTTCAGTTTTGCTTTTTCAATCGGATCTGTAGCTGGAGCTGCAATAGAATATTTAACGGAAAGCCCCCCAAATAGAAACAAACTGATTGTAATTTCCTGTTTTGTTTCTGCAAAATAAATTACTTTTGGGACCCATACTTATTTCGTCTCGAAAATTACTCGATGTAGCAAGCAAAACTATTTTTTTAAGACAAAAATAATTTTAAAATACGAACAAAGTGTCACGACCCGGGATTAGATTAACAGAAAAACAGAAGGTTAGGAGTAAAAATTCAGAATTAGGGTTCATGGAAAAGGGGAAAACAGAGAAACGATTGAAGAAGACGGGTTCCAAAATCTGGAATATGAGATATCCGAATCATGATCCGTTTTTGGGTCCGGGTCGACTATATATTATATATAGTCTGTTTTCCCAATTCTGAATATTACAATTAAGTCCCCTAATTGTCTATTTCTTACAAACTAGCTTAGGGGCGTGACACAAAGTCGTAAGAACCATATTTTATCAGCTGAAACTCTAAATTTAAAGGGATGTAATATCAAAAATATTCTTAAAAAAAAAACAGAAGAAAGAAAAAAAAAATGTATTGAGGAAATTTTGTAGCACATTAAGTTTTTATTCCAGACTCGGTCTGCCCTACGCCCAAAACATATTGGGTTTATAATCTGTAGGCCATCAAACTTCAAAGAGCTTCGATATGAAGTAATGGATTATACCATCTCATTCTTTGGATCAAATTGCAGAGCCCACGGGATAGAACTGAAGTAAAAGTTAGAAGCTACTAATGCCTATCAAAGGCTCCCAAGTCTTTGGGCCCTGGCCATATGTTTTCGCGTCGAGAATTATTTGTAGATAAAGATCTGTGAAAAGTTTTTTTTTTCTGAGGATTGAGATTGTTTTTTTGGGTAACAACATGGCGACTATGGTGCTGGAGGAATCGACGATTTTTTGAAGGGATTGACTGTGGTGAAGTACATCGAGTGGCGGAGATTGTGAAGGTAGTCGGGGGAATTAAACAAGCTTATGAGTATGAGAAATCCATGTGTGGAGCTTGTGTTGGGTGAGAGGAAAGGTGGATCCATTGGTTCCCGCCGCCGGTTGACTGGGTGAAGATGAATTCCGACGGCAGTTTTGATCAATCGATGGGGGTTGGTTGTGCATGAGGAGTTATTCGTGACTGTCATGGTTAGATGGTTGGGGGGTTTTATGATGAAGGTCGGGTTTCATACCATTACTGGTGCGGAGCTTTGGGGTTTATTTCAAGTCCTAGTACTAGCATGGACCTTGGTTATAAGAAGGTGAAAGCGGAAGTGGATAGCTCAAGTGTTCTGCCGATTGCGAAGGGCGACGAGAAAGTTTTAGGGATTCATTCGGGGATTGTAAGCGGGATTCGAGAATTACTACAACGTGATTGGATCGTAGAACTTGATCATGTTTATCGGAGACGAATTTCGTGGCTAATTACTTAACTTCTTTAGTTGTTTTGGGCTCGGTAAGTCTGCAAAGATTTGAGGCACCACCATCGGGTGCCCGGCCATGGTTATAACATGATGTATTAGGAGTGGCATATTCTCAAAATATAAGAATTTAGGCTTTTGACTCCTATTTCGTACCAAAAAAAGGCTTTTTTTCCTTATATAGACATAGGGTAGTAATACAATTTTATAGCATTTCTGCTTTCCAATTTGCCTTCCAAGGCGAGTATCAATTGTTGCACAAAGTAACCAACTCTTTGTTCTTTATTTCATTTCCTCTGTACTATTTTGTAATAAACGGTGAGGAATTGTTACATTTTGTAGCTGGTGATATTCAAACCTACATTCTCCAACTTGAGGTATTAGTGCCCTTCCTATTAAGCTATTAGTTCATTCACGTGTATTACTAGATTTGATTCCTCATGCATGAGCGCCGCTGGCATTTTATTACTTTTGTAACGGCTTCATGCATAATACTCTCATATGTCATAGTTGGAGTTACATCATAAAACCATTGTGGATAATATGGAAAAATAAATAAATAAATAAAGAAGTTTTCTCAGCTTGTCACTACACCTAGCTACTCTCACCATACGGCAGATGTCTTTCCTTTTCCCTTTCGGCTCCAATAAAAGAGATGCTCTCTCCTTAATTATACTCCATCCGTCTCATAAAAATAGTCCACATTGAATTTTAAGTTTTATACTGTTTTTAATACAAATTTAAAAACTCAATATGGACTTCTTTTTTTTTTTTTGGACGGAGATAATAATTTAAAAACAAATGATAAACAAGTCAACATTGACGGATTTAGGGTGGAGGCCACGGGGGGCCATCCTAAATTAATATTAGATATTTATTTTCATCTAGTTTTAACTAGATATTTGGCCCGGACCTAAGCCCGGACGCCCCCTTATTTAATTTTATTGAGTATAATTATTTAATCAAGTTAATTACATACATATATATATGTATTTTTGTAAGTTGTAAACTTATGTACACCAATTATGTATAGTTGGCAAATACAATTATTAATACTAAAAAATTGTTATTAGTTTAAAATTATACAGTAACACAATAATATATAAATAAATATATATCGTAGTATTATTTTTCTAAAAGTTTGATGAAGTCATTTAAAAACTGGAAAGCCAAAAATTAACAAATATACTATTTGTAAATGCCCTTTTTTTTCCAGGCCCATGTGGAAAAAAAAAAAACATTTCAATTGTATCAGCCCAATTGCAGACCCATTTTTTGGGCATGAAGTCAAAATACCCGATTCCATTTTTTTATTTTTTGTTTAAAAAAAAAACAAATAGAGAAGGACGGGTTTTTTTTAAGGAAAGTTTAGTAAATCTGGAAACTTCATTTGAAGAAAACAATGCACACATGTGTTCTTGTCACCTCTGAATTCACCCCATTTTTTGACTTCAAAAATCTGTTCGTTACAAATGTTTCTAGGTGTATGATTTACACGGGGATGTAGGGTTTCGTTTCAATGTGTTAAAACTGGATTCAAATTGGTGAAAATTCGGTATTCTTCATCAAAATGGGGGGAATGTCCAGATTGTTCATCCGCTTTTCCTGTGTCAATCTGAAACAATTATATATGTATTGTTTAAGCTAAATATTGAGTTCCGACAGCAACAAATTTGGATTATTCAATCGAATGCATTCACCTTCACTAAGTTTCAGATCTAACAGGTAATGAAGTTTATTTTGTTTATTATTATTTTTAATCGGGTATTAATCTATATGTATCTTATATAGCGAACTATTTGATAATCTACAAGACCTAATTTGTGTTTGTTTTTTGTTTTTTACTGAAAAAATTTCTGGATTGATCTAAATCCTAGTGTTCGAGCTGGGAACTGAGCTGCTACCCTCCCAGGAAATGTAATCTTCCTGCTATTGGGATGGACAATGGGCGTTTCTTATGTTCCATATAAGGTAAGGAAATATATTCATCCCAGAACGATGCTTTATTCAATATCACATAGATATGTATTTGATAAAGAACAGTTGGATTGATTTAAATATACATGCATAGTATAACAGTTGATTGTGCATATATGAAAACCCTATTTGCTGGTTGGTGTTCTGATTTTGACAGAAAAAGATAAGCCTATTTGTGACATCAAATTTGTTTAATGTTGATTTTATGTAAATTTAATGAATTCTACTTAGAACTAACTATAAAGAAATGAATGAGAATATAATAAGAAGTTTAATAATATGAAGCTAAAACAATAGTGCTGGAAATTAGGACAAAAATCTTGAAATTGCTGGAAAAAATGATCTACATTACCTTGAGAATCAGTATACATTATCTAACATTCCTTAGAGCCTCCTTGTAAACAACATTAGTTGTAGAATTGGACCGAGTTCCATCAGGGTTACAGATCAAGACTTTCAAACCTTTCTTAGATGTTACTCTTGAGAGTGCTACATATAGTTGGCCGTGACTGAATACAGGTCGTGGTTGGTATAATCCGACGGTAGAAAGAGACTGACCATGACTTTTATTAATAGTCATTGCGAAACATACCTCTATAGGAAACTGTCTCCTCTTCATTTTGAATGGGATAGTGTTATTTGTAGGTATAATTTTCATCCGTGGAATAGGTACAATATCCCCAATATTACTTCCAGATATCATTTTCCCTTCAATGATGTAACGACCCATTCGTGTAATATGTAACCTTGTACCGTTGCAAAGTCCATTTCGTTGATCAACATTACGGAGTAATATGATTGGAACATTCTTTTTTAAAACCAACATGTGAATAGGAAGCCCAAAAACTTTAATGCTGTTTAGGAATTCAGGCGTATAAATTCCCTGATCAAATTCAGTTCCATGTTCTGAGTTACACATACTGTCTGAACCCAGATACTCATGTTCTTCTCCTGGTAATAATCTTATCATGTAGTCATTAACAACATCAACAACATCATGTGTTGGCCATAATATTTCTCTTTCACGAAACCATGCAGCTTCTGATAAATTACTAAACAAATCTGGATATACATTATTGACAATGGCTTCTATAGGATCTCCTGGGTCCCTTATGATGACATCATCTGGAAAATCAATTTCAGCTTCCCCATCATTAGGTTCATTGATCTTGCCTTCTCTAATCTTTAACAACTATTCACCAAACTCACATATCTCCTCATTTTTGTCAGTATTATTCCCACCATGTAACCTCATATTAACAGTCAACTTCAATACCTTACAATATCTCCATAAATAAGATGAATTTATTGCAGAGTTCACAATGTCTGCTCTTGTGCCTTTTGGAACTACTGGTAATATCAGCTTGAAATCACCTCCAAGAACAACAACTTTACCTCCTAAAGGTTGTTTTGTAGCATTTGGATTAGTATGTCTTAGTACATCCTTTAACGATCTGTCTAGGGCTTGAAAACAATGCTTATGTAACATTGGTGCCTCATCTGATATAATAAGTTTTGCTTTCTTCACCAAAGTACAGAGAGCACTTCCTGGCTTGATAGTACATGTAGATTCATTAGTAACATTGATTGGAATTTAAAATCTTGAATGAGCAGTCTTACCACCCACCAAAAGTAAAGAAGCAATGTCACTGGATGCCACATTGAGCACTATGTCTCCTTCTTTACGAATTGCAGACGATAGCGTGCACCATACATATGTCTTCCCAGTTCCACCATAACCATACACAAAGAACAAACCTCCATTTCCTTTTTCAACTGCAGCCAGAATTTCTTT